TAGTAACAAGTGCCTTACTAGTAGTAACAAGAAAGCTACTAGTAACACGTGCCACGCTAGTAGTAACAAGTGCCTTACTAGTAGTAGTAACAGGTGCCTTACTCTTTAAATAAACCACCCATAACCAACCCCCAATTGAATTGAAGAACCTCTTATAAATAGGGGGGTTGATTCATCAAGAATCTACGTCACAATTGCAAGCTATTATAAATAGGGGGTTACAAACCACCCTATTCTTAATCAAGAACAGGGTGGTGGTTTAAAGAAATCTCTCCGATCGGAAGAAGTACGGAGAGATTTCTTTTACGAAAGCCTCAAGAATCGGTCATGGTCTGCACGAGCCAACCACTGAATTTCAGACCCGACCAAAACGCCACCACTGAAGCCGATTGTGTTTGAGCCATACTCCAAAGGGTGTGGGGTCACCGACTTTTCTTGACCTTGCTTAGGCAGGGCACAGAGTTGAACCCCAAAGAAGTGGTTAAGAATCAAGAAGGTCTCTCACGGCCTCAGATCTTGAAGATACTTTAAGGGGATCGGGCTCGAGGCATATTGCCGCCCAGAGTTGCCACACTGTGCACCTCGATGTCAGTCTCACACAGCCCCGGTTGCCAAGCTTAATGGCCTTTTCCCAAGTAGCCTCCAACCATCTCCAACCTACAAGCGATGGCCTCCAAACTAATAGCGATAGGCTCCAACCTAATAGCGATGGCCTCCAAACTAATAGTGATGGCCTCCAACCTAATAGCGATTGCCTCCAACCTACAAGCGATGCCCTCCAACCTAATAGCGATGGCCTCCAAACTAATAGCGATGGCCTCCAAGCTAATAGCGATGGCCTCCAAACTAATAGCGATGGCCTCCAAACTAATAGCGATGGCCTCCAACCTAGTAGCGCTGGCCTCCAACCTAATAGCGATGGCCTCCAACCTACAAGCGATGGCCTCCAACCTAGTAGCAATGGCCTCCAACCTACAAGCGATGGCCTCCAACCTACAAGCCATGGCCTCCAACCTAATAGCGATGGCCTCCAACCTAATAGCGATGGCCTCCAACCTAATAGCGATGGCCTCCAAACTAATAGCGATGGCCTCCAACCTAATAGCAATGGCCTCCAACCTACAAGCGA